CTCGGGTGGGCCACGACTCTCCCCTGGGACCGCGGCGCCCCGGCTGGGCGGGCTTGCTCTGGCTCCCGAGGGACGGGGCCTTTATCCCCTCCCGCTCCCCGTGCTTTGGGGGCAGTCAGCGAGCCGCCCTGCCGGCCTGAGTCCCTTCTCCCGCCTCCCTGGCCGAGTCCCTCTCCGCGTGGTAATGCTCCCGGCGGTGCTGGGGCCTCGCTGGGTCCCCTCTTGCCTGCGGGAGCCCCGTCTTTCCCCTCCCTGTCGCTTCCACGGCACAATACAAATGCAGTGGTGCTTTCCCATCCCGTGCTTTGGGGGCAGTCAGCGAGCCGCCCTGCCGGCCTGAGTCCCTTCTCCCGCCTCCCTGGCCGAGTCCCTCTCCGCGTGGTAATGCTCCCGGCGGTGCTGGGGCCTCGCTGGGTCCCCTCTTGCCTGCGGGAGCCCCGTCTTTCCCCTCCCTGTCGCTTCCACGGCACAATACAAATGCAGTGGTGCTTTCCCATTCATTCACGGGGTCACTGATGACTTGGGGCAGAGCAGCGAAATGTCTTCCTTGTGTTGGAAGACTTTAGGTCTTTTTTCACCCGTTACGGATTTTCAGGTGTTTCAGCCTTTAAAGGCCCCACCTGAGCCGTTGGAATAGCCACTTGACTAACTTCCCAGTCATTGAACTGGGTGAATAGCTGCCAGAGGTTCATACAGGAGATTGTCAAAACATGATCTTCACAGAGTTTGGATCTGGCTTATTAGTTAAAAGTATCAGAGATTAATTATTTGGAAATAGTATTCGAAGTAGTGTAGTCATAAGCCTCTCCCTGGGCTCCGTTAAAGGTGTTTTCCTAGAAGCACTCATGCTGTATGTGCTGATTTGGGTCTGTTCTGAGTCAATAGTTCAGTTAAGTGGTTCCAACAATAAACTAGCGTACGTGGAAATTCCCAGTATCTCAGACTGATGCAAAAATCAAATGTCCCATTGATTTGCCTCATCCTGGTACAGACATTTCAGCTAAACAGGCTGGTGCTGGACCACTGTGTATTTAGGTAGTGTGGCTTTAAAGCTTTTTGTTTATGTGTATTTATTTGATGCACTGTTTTGGCAGATTTTCTCTTAAGTTTAAAAACCTACTGCAATTTTAAGAGTACTTTTAAAATAGACTGTGGAAAACTTTTTCTTAATATTTTGATAGTTAACTTGTGTTTGCAGCTCATTCTTACTCTAGACGCGGCACTATGAATCAAGAAAAACTGGCCAAGCTTCAAGCGCAGGTCCGAATAGGAGGAAAGGTAAGAAAACATCAGAGATGTGCTGTTCCATGTAATTTATAAGTTGAAGGAGAAAAATATCTGAAATTTGTTTTTCAAAACATAGGCTTTGGCTTATAGGAGGGAGATAAAAATATGTACATTTGAGACCTGAAAAATAATGGCATTTGTGTGATTGGGATCATAGTGCTGCTACCTGAAATGCAATTTTCTTTCAGTTCACAACTGCTGGATGAGTGGTTTCCACAGTGTGTCAGCTTTCTTTTTAATTCAGTGACTTGTTGTGACCTGTGAAAGCTCAAGCTAAGCTTATGTGTTGGTTATTCCAGTTTGCCTTTCTCTGCTCCCTGTTGGGCAGTTCCTTCCTTTGTGCCAGCTCCAGGGCTTATCTGACTCTGCACTGAGCTGTTTCTTTTCTCTGAACCAGCAGGTAGCTAATGTGAGCAAAAAAAAAAAAGTGTATGGCTTGTTCAGTGTGGGTGTTCATCTCATAACTGTAGGTGGGGTTGTACAAAAGTTTGCAGAGTAGGAATTCCAAAATTGCTGTTCTGTGGAACAGTTTAAAAATCTTAATTACTTGATTAGGACAATGTGACCTTTTTAAATCACTGTTTTTGTGCTTCATCCCCAAGAAGGGAAAATCTTTATATATTGCTTAATAGTAAATAGTATTCTTAGAATCTAGCTTGTGGGAAGGGAAAATACTACTGTTTGGTGTCTTTTACGCTTAAGAAAAACCTTAAAATTGAGACTGACAGTTAAAGCTGTAGATGAAAGTAAAGTAAGTTGAAAAGCATTTTTGACTACAGAGCTTTCTCACAGTTTACAGATAGGCTGCTCAGAGTGTGATATGACTTTGAAAAATTCAGTGTTGTGATATTTTGAGAATAATTGACTGTTGTGTCTTGATTCTTTCCCAGGGAACAGCTCGCAGAAAGAAGAAGGTGGTGCACAGAACAGCTACAGCTGATGACAAAAAACTTCAGAGTTCCCTCAAAAAACTGGCAGTAAATAACATTGCTGGCATTGAAGAGGTATAGTGATAAAATAAGTGTTTCCTGATTGAAATGAAATTCAGTGGTGTTTTGGTGGTGGGGTTTTTGTTGTTTGTGGTGGTTTTTTTTTTTTTTTTTTTTTTCTTTAAACAACAGTTTTCCCCTCAAAAACTTACACGGCTGGTTACTGATAGGTGAAGTTACTTGATTGTTGTTTCATTTACATTAATGCATGCATACCTAGAGAAAGAAGGAAAAAGGCTCTGCTGGCCAGATAGTGATTGGAGAAGCTAGTAAGTTGCCATGTATGTCTTGCACTCATTGTGAAACAAAACTTCTCTTGATTCTTGACTTCATTAACTTGATTACCTACTTTAAAGAGAAGAGCAGTAAATGCACATGTATTGTGCAGGCACATCTAAAGCAAGGGTTGTGTAGTACAGAGTACAAGGACAACCATAAAAACAGATGGAGTGAGAACTTGCAAATTTGTATTATCAAAATTAGTTCCTATTACTGCATGAAAATTACCAGAAATATTTGTGGTAGTCACAGGAGATGACATTTCTACCAACACAGCAAAGGCTTTACAGAAACAGCTTCTTTGTTAATGAAGTAGGAATATAAAGGTTTTGGATATTCCTTGAACGTACCTGTGTAAAATACGAAATGAAAGACATTTTTCATAATGCTGTAGAGTGACACTCATGTGGGAGGAGGAGGTGTTCCTTCATCATGAACTCAATATTACTGTAGTACTTGGTTAAAGAAGCATAATATTTAATCTGTGATTAATTAATTTAAGCAGGGTTGCAAGGTGCCTCCAGAGGTCACTTAGTGCATGCCTCTCTTCCAAAGGCAAATACAGATTCAGTGTAGAAGCCTGGTTTGCCTGTAAGTTTTCAAGCCTTTGCTACAGAAACAATTCAATTTGTCTGTTTACTTAAGCTTGATATGTATATGCTGAGCTATATGAACCCAAAGAAAGACAGTTCATGTTCTGTTTGGGGTTTTTTTGTGGGTGTCCATCCCTGTCGGCTCCCCCCCCCAGGCATAAGATCTTTATTCAGACACAGTTATTAAGGATTTTAGATGTCTTGATGTGAAGGACGATAATCCAATATGCTTCTACCTTGATAGTTAGGTATGTTACTGCAGTATGCTGTTGTATTCAGGTGGACAGAAGTTGACATTGGTAAACTTTGTGTAGAAAGAATGGTTTGGGGAGGCTAGTAGTCTTGAGTCAAACATTAGTAGCTCATCTGTGTGGGTTTTAAGGGGCTTTTAAGTAAGAGGATGACAGTGCTTGAAGCCTTTACTATTTCCCCATGTGTAAGGGACAGGACATCTTTCAGCTTTGCTGGAAAGCAACACGCCTGGTTTTCCTGGTCAAACATATTTTTAACTGTGTTGCTGTATGGAGATTGATAACTTACATGTTTGTATATTTTAGATCTCTTTAGTTCCAAAATTTCTGCTTTCTCCCGGTAACTTCACTAAAAACAATACTTAGGAGTTTTGTGACATAAATTTATTACTACTGTTTGGCTTGATGGGTAGAAGGCTCTTCCTTTTTTCAAATTATTTTCCACTTAGCTGTGCCCAGAAGAACAACCTTTTTAACGTTACGTTCTGTCTCCTCTTAAGTTAAAAAACCTAAAATAAACCCCATAGAAATATGCCAGTATAAACTTCAACAGTAGGAACAAAGCAGGCTGCTGTACTGGCTGTAAAACTTAATTCTCAGTGATTCAGAAGACCAGGGAAGAGGAACATAGCAGGATCACTGTATGATGCACTTACTCCATGATGACTATTAAGAGATGTACTAGGAAGGCATAGAAGCCTGTTCTAGTGTAGCTGGTACATAAACCCCCAGTGCTGCCTGTGTATGTGCAGGAAGCATCCCTGCCTTGGGCAGCTTCAGCAAGTAGGCCAGATTGTGAATCTTGTGCCTTTGCCAGTTCTGGTGCAGAAACAATAACGTTTTCCTGATAGGCAACACAGATAGCTGTGAGTGGCGATGCTCTTAAACTGATGTGGCAAGGCTTTGCTGTTAGAGCTTTTAGTTTGTAAAGAGTTACCACAGGTTTTGGTGGGGTGTTTTTGTTTTCCCTCTAGACATTCCTGATACTAACTCGTTTATGTCTTACAGTCTAATAACCTATGCATGTTTTTTGTCTTTGTTAAAAATACACATGAACTGTATGATAGCATACAGTCCTTGCATATTTGTTACTTAGTATTTAGATAAGCATATTCTATGAAGGAAACATAGCTCTTAAATTCTACCTTTTTCATATAGTAGATATGAACCCATATTTTATCATTAACTCATATTTTACTTGCAGTTTAGGTGGTGTTAATTCCGGATGCTTTTATCATGGCTATATTATTCTCTAGGAGGAGTACTAGTTTTATGGGGTTTTTAATATATATTTTAAATCTAGATTTGAATTAATTTATCATGCTTGTTTAGCAAGATGCTGCAACACTTTGGTAAATGTTATTAATATATTTAAACAGGTGAACATGATAAAAGATGATGGAACGGTTATTCACTTCAACAACCCCAAGGTTCAAGCTTCCCTCTCTGCTAACACTTTTGCAATTACTGGTCATGCAGAGGCTAAGCCGATCACAGAAATGCTTCCAGGCATCTTAAGCCAGCTTGGTGCTGACAGCTTAACAAGTCTCAGGAAGTTAGCTGAACAATTCCCAAGACAAGGTAGGTCTTTTTGGAGTCTTTCATCACTGATTTAAAGAACATAGAAAGTATTAAAAGTTTTAACCCAAATTTAACAGCAGCATGCATGACTTAAAGTGATCGAAAGCAGATATGCTTTTATTTATTTGCCACTGTTCTGGAAAGTTTGGTGTTTTGTTTTTTTTTTTTTTTTTTTTTTTTTTCTTGTCGATTGAAGATTCTGAAAAAACATTTGGTGAGTCAGGCATGCTGTGATTGCAGGTGTACAAGTGTGTATGACAATACTTAGGAAAGCAAGTTCAAGTTTGTACTGGGAAAAACTCAGCAGGTTGTTTTTGTCAGGGAATTGATTCTGTTTTCTTTGTTCATACAAAACATACTTCTGTTGTGAATATAGAGAAGAAGCATGTTCTTTATTTTCTACTCTGTTATTCCATTTGGAATTAAACCAAGCCTTTTTTAAAATGGATTCAAAATCAAAGGTTTGATTCAAAATAATCAAAGTTTTTAATGTGATTCTTTACTTTTCTGCTAATTTTAAAACCATAAGAGCATGGTGTGTGTATGTATGTGGTATAACTATTACTGTAATTTTACAGTGAAGAAATAGAGTCTGGGGAAAATCCCTCTTAGAATTAATACCTTCCTTGAGGAAGCACTGTAGCATGTTTTGTAGAGGTCCCAACTATTTTCCCTAAGCAAGTTTGCAGTTTAAGAAGAGATGGAAATTTATTCTTCAGATGGTGTATGTTATGAAATTGGAACATGAGTGTTTTGAAACATGCAAGTAATCAGTCTGACTTTTTGATTAGAATTTTTAAAGCTTTCTTAGACTGCAGAACAGGTATACTTTTCATTATAAGTAGTTGTATTGCAGTTTTTTCATGTTGTATATTGTCAAAAACTAGTTCTTAATATCAAGCCCCAGTGAAGTTGGACATAAAGATTTTGGGTTTCATATTTGTACTGTTTATACTGTTATGGCCGTTAAAAAGACTGTAATTGGACATGTTGCAATTGTCTGTGTTTGGAATTGGAAAACGCATTACCTGTCCTAATATTTTCAACAAATAGTTATTCCTTCTAAATAAATTTAATTTCTTTTATATTTTATGTTTAATTGAAAGTAAAGGGTTTATTTTTCCTTCTTTACTAATATTAATATGTAAAATACCTTTTAAAATTTAGAAGATGGATTATCATAAGCATATTTCTTTGATACAACCTCAGTACCAATAGGTACCTACTATGCTTTCTTTAGATAGTACAGGAAGTCAGACCAATGAGAAGAAATACTTTTATTTTTAAGTTCTTGGATTTCTCTAGATTACTTGTAGCATATTCCAACTTCCATGACTTACAGAAGACTGGGTTTGATGCAAGACCCTTGATATGGAAATACTTCTTCCTACAGTTTTGGCCCCTTGGTAATTAAATCATATGATATGTTGGTCCTTGGTTGGTACCACATTATTGTTGCATTGAAACACATGACTTCAGTCAGATTTGGTCATGCTGGGTTTTTCCTGTATCATTTGATCTTTTGCTAGCTCTGCCTTAATACCTCTAAGTATTTGAAAATGGCTGTGCTTCTACTTCAGTATAAGAACGTTCACAAGTAGACCTTTTGGTCATGCTGATTACTGTTGATACCCAATCATTTGTGTCTGTTAGGTGTTGGGGAAATGCGTTCTTTTCACCTATGTTTTTTATTTTGTTATGTGATTGTCCCTAATTCTGTGTAATGAGAACTCAGCACCAAATTTCTTTTTATAGTGTTGGATAGTAAAGCACCAAAACCTGAAGATATTGATGAAGAAGATGATGATGTCCCAGGTAGGCACATGCACACTTACATGTCCATCTAATGTATAAATACTTCAATTCATGCATTTAAATACTTAACTCTTGATGTGATTATACTTCTCACTTGATAAGGGAGGCTTCATATACTGGGCAGCATTAAAACATTCATGACATTAGATTCCAGCTTTTAAAAAAGGTTTAGCCTGTGCAAATTGCTTAATTCTTAAGTGAAGGTAGGTTAAAAATATTTTCAGGAAGGTTGAACAGGTGATCTAAATATTAAAATAGGGTTTTAGGGCTGCAAAATTACATGATTGGCATAGTCATCAGGTTGTCTTTGAATCAGAGTAATATAAATGGGGATTTCTATTTCTGTAGTAGAAGAAACAAAGCTTATGTCAGTGTCTGAAAGTTTCTCAATGAATTAATGTTGTAAGTTCTTAATTTTGTCAGTGAATATCCGTCAATCACCACATTCTTCTATACACATCAGTATGGTTTGAGCTAAAACAACCAACTGGTGGGCCTGGAGGTTCAATTCCTCATGCTTTAGCACTGGTTTATTTGTGACCTTGTATAAAAATTCAGTTGTCTAAAATTTTGTTTCTTGGAATGCAACAGTTAGTGGGTGCCTAATGTCAGGCATTCATTAAAGAATACTGATGTCTCAAGACTTAATGGCACTAGTAGAGCCCCTCTGAAAATCAGATCTTAGTCACTTCATGTTAGAACCTCTGCTCTTCTGAGTGTTTCTGCATTTCTAGTTCTTTGTGTGTGTTCAGACAAACCCTATTTTCTAAAGCCCTATGAAATCTGCCCATAAAAAATGGTGTACGTGAGAAGTAATTCTTAACCATACTTATAATATATGCATTTTCATTAAACTTATGAAGGTAAAGTTACTGGTCATTACTGTATTAAATATCTTCATCTCTTTCAGATCTCGTAGAAAACTTTGATGAAGCATCAAAGAATGAAGCTAACTAAACCATTAATAGTTCTGGAAGCTGGCATGGACTAGATTTAAGAAATCAGCTATGTGGTTCCAAAGTTTTAAAGAAACAGAGAACATCATCTGTTAATAGTTCAGTAATATAAATATTTTGTATTTTTATGATGCTGTTTGTTCAGCATTTTCTGTCAGTTGATTTTGCATTTTGCACTTACTCCCAGGATCTACTCTTTTGGTCAAAAAGAAATGTCAGTGCAGTTTGAGGGGTGTGTGCATGTGCGTGTGTGTATGTGTGTGGGTGTACATATAGTGGAGAACAAATTGGAGAACACTTATTTAACCTTTTCCCCTTTGGAAGTAGAAATAAAATGAATCTTCAGCATTGTTACTTTTTTATTATCACCAAATAGTGCACAGAAGGTAATTAAGATTAAAATTTTGTCCACATTTTGTGATCTGGAGACATTACACCATTAAAATTTGGGTTTAATTTGCTGTTAACTATCGTACTTGCAGATGTGTTTCTCATCCCCATTGGAATGTACACATGATAATTGTTATCAACCTTATGTTGATCCCAGATGGTACCAAAGACGAGCTGTTTTACTGGCTTGTTTGGTACAGTAACTTTTTAAAAAGGAAAACTTGGTCTCAGAAGAGTGTGGTTTTGTTTGGTTTTTTTTTTGAACCCTTCCCAGCTTTTTCTTTCTTCTTTTTTTTTCTTGTGTGTCTAACCTTTTGAGACAAGCTAATGTTTGTCTCCTTCCATCTAGGCTTAGCAGTATGTTCTCCTGTTGATTACATAAGAGTATTTCCCATGTCAAAAGGAAAACAAACACCTTGGTTCTCTGCCATGCGGTCACTTCCTAAACTTGGAGGTCTAGTTGGTAACAGTCCAGTGCACCAGTTTTGCACACTAACAGATTTTTGCTTGAATAAGTTCAAGCTGTTCTCTTGGCATGACTGCATTTACTAGCAGCTGATGATCCACTGTCATTCTGACGGCACTAGGAATTAAATGCACCATGTGAACAATGTTTGAGGTGGGAGGAAAAAGTTGTTGACATTTTGCCTTGCCTTCTGCTGGGCAGTTTGTGCAATGACTAGCTCTAAAGGGATAACTTTTTTTTGCCTGTAACTTACCTTTGCCTATAACCTACCTCTAGGTTTGGTGTCATCTATGTAGTAGCTTCTTAAAACCCACAAATGCTTCTCAGGCATAAGGAGGACATTGGGAGGTACTGTTGGTAGAGTGCAGTATTTATGATGTTTCTTTAAAATGCTTAATGTGAACCTGTTTTCTCAGAGGCTCTTTCAAGGTTTTTGATGTAATGTGCATTACAGTATAGTTAGACATCATTGTAACCTGTGTCAAGGGCAGCTGTGGCTTAAGAAAGCCATTTTTTTTCCTCTACATCTGTCACTTAACTATGGCTTAATTGGAACATATCAGCTTTTTCTGTAGGTTCATATGCTAGAGAACTGTAAAAGTACAAGGTAAACAGTATATGAGTTCTGGTGACATAATCATAAAACCATGAAAGCAGAGCTGTAGTGGTTTGCCATCTGAACCCCTCAATTTATTTTATAGGCCTTGCTCAGTTTCTCCTGTTAATATTTTATATACTACATGGATCTTACTACAAAATAAAATAACAGTACAAAAGAGGAACTGCTCCCTCCTGTGTGTTGTCCCCTCTTCCCACCAGCACTGGCTGAGGCACGACAGGTGGCTGCAGCAGCTGTTTTGGACAGCACTGCATCCTTGCTGACCGTGACGGGAAGGTACACGCAGGACTAGGGAGGATCCTGTTGGAGCTGTAGGGTTTCACACTCCCACATACCCACTCTGCTATTTCCCCTGCAGTGTTGAATGAAACTTTGGTTTGTTGTATGGCTGATCTTAAATTGGCCGCAGACGCATTTGTTCTGTTTATAAGGAAGAGATGTCTTCATTAATGTGTGCACAGGCACACTGAATTGCCTTTTGCTGCCTCTGCAAGCTGAAAGCAAATGAAGGATGCTAGGAAACAGGTATTCGCAGTGTTCTTCTGTTTGCTTCGGGGGCACAAGTGAAGAACGTTTCAAAGTAGCGGCTGTACTGAGTTTATGTATGGGACATCCCCTCCCCCTAAATACTAATCAGATACTGAAAAATTGTGCTCATTGGTTTCTGATGTAGGAAGTATGTCAAAAGTAATTTTGTGAGCGATTAAGAGTAAGCATTGGAAACAATGATTCCCTAAGTTTATATAGTTGAACTTTGATTCCTACAAAATACTCATTTAATTCTTGCTCTTGGTCATGAGAATTTACATGTTAAACCCTCACTTTTTTTTTTCCTGTGTTTGACAACCAGTAAACTAACTAAATATGCTAGCTTATGTAGTTATATTATCTTCAGTTTTTCACTGTATCTGGAAACAGTCAACCACTTATGATTTGTTGCTGGAAATACTAGAGCTTATCAATCATTAAACTGATTTTAATTAAAAGTAACCCGTCAAGGCTGTTGTGGGAAAAGCTCTTTTTCTTCGTATTTATTCATGGTGTAACTCAAACAGTGTTTGTACATGCTGATGGAAATGCAAAGTTACTAAAAGCAGTTTTGGGGAGTGTTGGTACAATAAAAACTCCCCACATGAAGGTGAACATTAAAATGTTGTTTGCTTGGCTTGAAGCACTATAACCCCTCTACTTCTGAAGCTCTTGAGCTTACTTGCTCACTACTTAAACACTGTTGGCATATTAAAGATACTGGCATATTGAAGAAGTTAGCAGTGATATGAAAATAGGAAGATAGGGCAGAAAGCAAGGTGAAACATCTCTTGGACCGCATGTGAGAGAATCAAAGCTGAATCAGTGAAGACTAAAGAATCAAGAACTTAGCAAATGTATAAGACTGCATATGCTAGTCTTCCTGCCCCAACTGCTAGTAGCTTTGTGTAGCTCCCTAGTTTATGGGTGGGGAACCTGGGACTGGCTGGCTTCTCTCAGGCAGGAGAGGAGGTCTGTAAAAAAAACCTGCAGTTGTGGTGCGTTTTCTGGGGCGGGGGGGGGAGCTCCTGTATGACGGATGGCAGAGATGACAGTACAGCCAGTGGTGCTGGAGACCTGGTACTGAGTGCTGGGGAGGGATTTCTTGTGCAGCACTTGGTAACAAAATCAGTTTGGAGCTAAGAGTGTTGGTAGGGTGGGAGGAGTTGATACAAAAAGAACGTTTAACAGACAATACAGACCTTGAGAAAAACAGGGTTCAGGTGATTTTTTTCAGCTTTTGTTACACAGGAATATTTGAAGAGTATACAAGAATGATAAGGTTGAATTTAGAACTGCTACTGAAGTTTTATTGAAATACGTTGATATTTCACTAGCATTTGTCAACTTCCCATGAGAACTAGGAGTTGCTATGATCTCCCTTCTGCCAGGATCTTCACAAAGAATGTTTTGATTTGATGTGTACAAAATGAGCACTGGAGGTCTTACGATATAATTACTGAGCAGTGTATTGATTGATTGACCAGTGTATTGCTGTTAACAGGAAGGTACTGAGGAAGTTACAACAGCACAGTAAATCCGTGCTGTATGTAAGAGATGAATTTGTGCTTCTACTGAGGAATGTCATAGGAAGGATTCTCCTAATTTCCCTGAAATCGGACTGTGCTGCCCCAGGCGGTAGGGATGTACAGAGGGGCTGAGCAAACTGCCCTGTAGGTGAAGGCGAGTGACTGAGTTCTTCTACTAGCCCTTAAGATTAGTCTCCTTTTATTATTTCAAGACAGTGCTGGTTTGTTCAGCAAAGTGAACAGACAGATTTTTCTGGAGATCAAGATTAATTGAATGATCCATGTCTTGTACTTGAGCAAATGAAGTGATGCAGAACAGAAGCACATCACAACGCTGGCCATAGCGACTTCACGGAAGTGGCAGCAGAAGTAGAGGGAATGGTTATTCACGTTCAACTGTTTGCTTTCCTGTCAAGTAAATCTTATTTTTCTTTATCTTCCCCCTCCCCTTTTCAAAGACCAGTTTGCAGACACTGAAGAACTTGATGGACTTATTCAGAAACGTGGGGGCCGCAGTGTCAATCAAGGATTCAGGTAGCCAAGCAGAGCAAGTGAAGAGACTAATTCTAAAATCGGTGGTCTTGGTATGTTTGGGTGGAAGTGTGGGTTGATATCTAGAGCAGGATTATCGGGAACTGGGTTTTCATTTCAGACTCTGGCACTGTGTATTTGGCAAGAAAAACCAAACTTGTGCATCTTCCAGTGCCTTGGTTTGCCTTTATTTCAGGAGTACTGCTCTACCTCCTATAAGTATGTGGTATGTAAATTAATGAACACAAAACCTGGATGCTTCTTGAGAGAAAAGAGCTACATCTGTGCAAATGGTATAAAAAGCTACTTTACTTCCACATGATAAGTGCATCCTGTTTGGTGGGCTGTCAGTACTACTAAACACCCTCTCACTAAACAACAGACCCACAGCTTGCTCACACGCGTTTTTTTCTTGTCAACCTGGTATCTGTCAGATTCTCACGTTAGGCGGCATTTCCTTGAACTTTGCATTGCAGATGGATTTTGTAACTGTGCTAAATTAGTTGCCTCCTCAAAGTAAAAGATTACCTGCTCATTTGAGTTGTTGAAGTTGTTTCTGATATTTTTGATAAAGTATCAATGCTAAGGCAAACATTGAAACAAAAAATTGTATTCCAAGGCCTTTTGACCTTTCAGTGCGTATCTCCCAGCTGAATTAAAGGAGTTGCATGACCTCGTGCCCTTTCTTGCAACATCCTTGCAGCAGCTACGGTAACTGCTTATGTCAAAAAGTAATATTAGAAAGTATTTAATGTATTTTTAGATTCTGTCTAATGCAACTTAGCTGACAAAGAAGAGCCTGTGCCACATAATCAGCTTTCTACAGGCATTGGGAAATGTGGTGCAAACTACGCTTTGAGAACATCAGATCTGATTTTGAGGCCGTGTGTGAAGCTGGAAATTTCCAAGTGATGCAAATTATTGCCAGATGTAGGTAAGTGAAGACTTAAAATCTCAACAGATTGTCAGCGGGATACCAGACCTTTACACATCAAGAGTGAAGTTCCCTGAAAGGCCTTCATCACTCTCAGGCTTCCCTACCATCAAGGGAGAAAGTCTTCCCCTTCCTTTGCTTTCCCAAGTGCCAGCAGTAGTAGCTGGTGTCTGGTTGTAGATGACTTTCTTTAAAGTTAGTTTTCAGCTCACCTTGCCGTGAACTCTGACCACACAGTTGTGTGTAATAGTACTAGCACATGCTAAAAGCTTGACCATTCCTCTTCCCGACAGCTTGCTTTGGTTGTTTTAGCCAGCTTGTGAAACTGCATCCTGAGCCGTGATGGTAGTGTTTGAACCTGCGGGTCCCGCAGTTCATTCTGCCTAAGCGTGTGCTTGCAGAGAAAGCTGTAGCTTTGGGGCCCACGTTGGTTGTCTTTGCCTTACAACCTGCTAGCTAGCTTTAAATTTCTGTGAAATAAATGGTAGCCACCCTTTAAAAGGAAAGTGTTTGCGTGCAGTCCCTTTGGGCAGGCTTGGTAGAGATGACCATCAAGCAACCCATCCTTGAAGACTGAACTAGCCTTTTAACCCTACTGCTGTTCCTGCTCTGCTGCTGAGGCTTGTCTTGGCAAGACAGCGTAGAGGAACTTGCAGTGCTGCTGCCAGGGCCATACTGAGTTTGGGAAGAAGGGAAGGATTTGCCATATTGATGCCTTGGGTGACTGATCTGGTCAGATAAAAACTTGCAGTTTGTCTTTAAACTTTTAGTTGTGACACAAGGGTTTGGTACGCTCACTGTGCCTTGTGAGGCATAGGCATTGCCTGTACTGTGAGCTGATAAGCTGTGGCATGTGAACCCTGCGTGCTGTTACCACAGCCACCCTCTGATGCAGCCAACCCACTGCTGTGCAGCTGCACAGCACCCGAACACAGCCTTCCCCTGTAAGCCCATTTTGCACGTCTCTCTTCAGATGAACAGTGACCTTTTTGGGCAAGCTATTGAAGTTTTGATTCATGCTGCAGGTTCTTGTTCAATGAAAATCTCAGTAAATAACTTAAAGGCAACTTGAATAAGGAATTTCCATTTTTGTGACAAGACCTGGTTTCAGATGGTTTCTGACACATGGTGTTTAATTGGAAATAGCTGTAATTTGCTTACAGCACTTTTACAGTCTCCAGGGAGTAATGATGCAACTGAAGCTTCTTCTCTGTTCATTTTG